GTGTCTGGAGGGAGGAAGATCTGTCGAGATGCCCTGCTCCTTTCTGCCTGGGACTGCAAAATATGACAACAACTTTTATATATGGACATAGAATTGAATATATATGAAATTGAATTAGCTGTAAATATGCTTTGGATCTAGTTCTTGACTGTTGGATCCCAATGAATAATGAACTCTGGGTCATGCATTATATATTTCAGTCATTTGTGGACAGCGGTCCATCCGTTTCTCCACAAAAGTCAATGGGGTCTACATTCATTATCAGCTCTGGTTCCAACTAGTGGTCAGCTGATTTATCAACAAGGATGAAAATAGCCATTTGTTAATCATCACATTGGTAGATAACATTGATTTTAACATCAAACCAGACTTTAAACAATGTAGAGTGTGTTTTACAACCATAACAATAACTAGATGATATCTAATTTAGCGTTTATGTTCTGTTTAGTTATGTCTACTTCCACTTTAAATGCTCTTTAAAGTCAGGTGGATTCTGATTGACTGTCAATGTTTTTATCATCATTCAACTGGAAAAAAAAAATCTTAATGTAATTATAAAGATGCTGCTCTTCTGGGTTGTAATTGTTATAGCTGTGGTGTGAACCTCGCTATTCTCACAGAATTAGAAAGATTAATAAAACAATACAGTTATAGTTAACTTTCTGGTCTTTATTGTGGTCAAAAATAATCCGACTTAACTAAACTAACTAACTAAATGACTACTGACTTAAAATGACTACAATTCAGTTTTAATGTGCTGTTTTAACGTAAAAATGTATGTGTGAACCAAAAAAACTGTGTACTTGGCTAAATTTGTTTAGAGGGCCTTAAAAGTGACAACAGCAACAGTGTCACAGTTCAGTAGCATGTTTGCTAATGCTAGGCCACTCTGACCGCTTTAGTTTTCCCAGGTTTTCCACACAACTGCAAGCACAAACATAATCCTTCTGTATATATTTACACTTCAAAAGTCATGACGATGTATTCAAACAGTCAATTTCATGGAAATGTAGCCATTGTAACTAATGGAATGGCTGTACAAATGTATAACAGATCCATATCATAATTGAAATAACAATGGTTGGATCATTACTTGCTCTTCGATCTGGTCATGCTTATCCAATGCAGCTTCCACAGCATCGAAGAACTCCTCTTCATTGATCTTGGTCCTTCGTCCTTCCTGCACAGAGAGAATTTCTCAGTCTGGAATGGAGGGTGTGTGTTGAACCAAAGGGACAGTGTGCAGTGTGAATTAAAGGCTGTGGACGCACTTCATAGTCTGGTCCTCCATAATGAGGCTTCTTCTTCAGCTCTGTCAGTGCAGCTTTATAGGCGTCTTCAGCACGTCTTCTCCTTTCAATTTCCTTATGAATGATAGAAGAATGTTACTCATACTATATCCAGTATACATCACAATGCACTCAAGAAGATCTTCAATGGCTCATAACAATATATAATAAATAAATAATTTTTATAATAATATTTTTCCACCACACTCTTAATTTTATTTCTTTATTTATTAAATTATAAAGTTTTCCAGTATTTGGGAAAGAATAATAGCATCTATTCTGCTTTCTCTTCTGAGTGGATCAAGTTTTTCGTCACCCAACAGACATGTAAATATACATTAGCGTTCAAAATTGAGGTTTGTAAGACTTTTTTTTTTTTTATGTTTCTGAAAGAACTCTTATCCTCACCAAGGCTGCATTTATTTAAACAAAATATTAAAAACACTAATACAGTTAGATCATATTAAATAACTGTTTTTATATATTATATTACTATTTTAATATATTTTTAAAAGTTGAACTTGCAGCAGCCATTACTTCAGTCTTCACTGTCACATGATCCTTCAGAAATCATTCTAATATGCTGATTTAATGCGCAAAGAAGCATTTTTTTATTATTATTTTTATTTATTTTTTTATTAAAAACAGTTAACCAATTTGCTGTCTAGATTCTTTAAATCTTTTAGACTGGGGAAGATGTTTAGAGTTCTGCAACTTGCTAGCTGCTAAACAAAGCTTGCTTACAAACTAATCCAAGAAACGCCCGTTTAGGATCCAAATAAAGAATCCGGAGCAGACCAATGACATGACACAGGAACTCTGACAGCTCCACTTGCAGTTTCATGCTTAAGCTTAAGCAAACACACCCATTTCAATTGTCAATCCCACTACAAATGCCATTAAAGATACCATTGCGTCTGGCCTCTTTGGAAGGTCATTCATCTAACAAAGGGTGGAGCCCATATCACCCGCTCTCTAGACTTGCGTGAAGAGAAAACTAGCTTGAATAGCTTGCAGAAAGCAAACCTCCAAATCACTCAAACCTTCTTTAAATAACTCAACTGAAGCAGAACCTTCCGCTACAACATGAAACCTTCACTAAAAAGTGGTTGTTCAGTTGGCTAATTGAGCAGCTTTGGGTGTTGTAGACAAGTAATTGGTGCATAATGTTCTTGCATTATAAATAAGATCTGTTCTGAAACTGGCAGGTGTGGTTTAGCTTTAAGCACCGAAACACCTCTCTCTCTGCAAGATGTCACGAGAGACAATTACTGACAACACCCGGCTTATATGAGAGGTGATAACAACTGTCAAAAGGTGGTAACGTGACTCTACTAAACCCTGCAATGGCAGAGTTTCGGTGGAAATGTAAACGCATACACTTCCACAGCACATATGGATGACTAAAACATTTTCAAGTGACTCAACTTGACACTTAAAACAGAATGTAGCAGTTAATAACCAGTGAACTGAACAAAGCATGTCAAACCTACAGAGTAGAAGCTGCTGTGCGTACACAGAGGAATCCAATTTTCATTAGCACTCTGAAGAGACCCGGCCACCCAGTTCTGCCATGGCTTCAACGCTGAAGCACTGTACACTGTAGTCATCCTCTACAATCCAGTTGCTAACATCACAACACACAATCCTCAGAAATTTGGAACTCTGGTTACTTTGCAAAAGGCTTTTTCTGCTCAAAGGTCCATCAAGTCCTGTTGAATGACTGTAAACACACTGTAAAATCACACCCGTCCAGATTCTCTGTGGCGGCTGGAATTCAAGAAGCTGCTTCCTGGCTCATGATAATATACCGGGGGCTGGACTGTAGATGGAAAAACTGGTAGAGCAAGTGCAAGCAGAAGCTTTACACTAAGATGCTAATGATGTGTGGCTTTGGAGATGTGTTCCCACATAAAGTGGCGCTGAATGTGAGGAATGCAAGGCTCCCGGAAGCTACAGTAGATGCACTTTTGTTTTAATGGATGTGTCTTTGTGACTCATCCAGTAATTAAGGTGTTATGTGGGAAGTGTATGGGTATGTAAATAGTGCTCAGATTAAGCTTGTTAAAAAATTGCAGAGCTGCTTGATGCCGAATGCTTTATTTGCATCGAAATGCACCCAGTAGTTTCAATATGACAAAAGTGTTTGATAGTCCCCAAACTATTAATATTTCCTGTAAAACCAGAATGATTAGGGATATTAAATTCTGTCATAACTTACTCCAACCAATATTACTTTTGTTTCTTCCTTTTTTTTTTTTTTAAAGGAGATACTCTGAAGATTGTTTATGCTGTTTTTTATAATAGACTAAACCGAGGTCTGTTACTTACACAAAGCTATGGTAAGGATTCAGAGGACTTGAAATATAACACAGGAGTAGTATGGACTTCTTTTATGATGACTTTGTGGAACTTGACCATCTGTGGTTTATTTGCTTACCAGCATCTATGGCTGTTTTCAGGGCAAGATCTGTACTTTAAAAGAAACAAATAGTAATAACACAGTAGTAAAGAAAAACAATTGATAACCGAGTTATATCAATAGAATTCTACATTACAGAAGATTTTTTTATGTTTTAAAAAAAAAATTGTTCATGTTTTAAATAAAAAAAAATGTAACATTAATAATTGTTTTTAAAAATGTTTCATCAGCAATAGAGAACCCTCTGAAAACACAGATTAACACAGTGGTCCAATTCCATTTGCCATTTAAAGAGTTCCTGGTCACTTATGCTTTGTTATACTGAAAAGAGCAATGTTAACATAAACTACCATTCAAAAGTTTGGGATCAGTAACAAAAGGTTTTTATCTATTAATTTTCTTATGCTCACTAAGGCTGCATTTATTTGATAAAAATATAGTAAACAGTAATATTGTGAATATTCTTACAATTTAAAATTACTGTGTTCTATTTTAATATATTTTAAAATGTAAATTTATTTCTCTGACTGCAAAGCTGAATTTTCAGCAGTCATTACTCCATTCTTCAGTGTCACATGATCCTTTAGAAATCATCCTAATACACTGATTTGATGCTCAATAAATATTTCATATGAACAGTGTTGGGCAAGTTACTCTGAAAATGTAATCAAATTACTGATTACTGATTACTCCTTTAAAAGTAATCACGTTACTGTAGATGAATAACAATTTATTTGTTTTAGATATTTTATGTTTAGATATTTCTATTTTGCGGGAGTCCTGTGAATCATTTTATTCTCCCGCATCCCGCACACACACGCGAGTCTCTGCACTCGCCTATCAAGTCTTGTCCCGCTCTGCACTCTGTTGCGTCGGGTCTCGCGGGAGCAGGTCTCTAATCCACTGGCACTTGACTCGACATTGCGTGTGCTACATCCTTTTTACAATCTCCAGATTATAAAACACTGCATTCTGTCAGCAATGTAACGCAGCAGTAACGTATAAAGACCTCGGATTGTAACTATACTCTAATTACTATTTTAAAAATTATAACGCATTAAATTACTCCCTTACTAAAAAAGTAATCAAATTACAGTAACGTGTTACTAAGTAATGCGTTACTGCCCAACACTGCATATGAATATAAATGCTGCCTAATATTTTTGTTGAAACTTATTTGAAATAAGAATGCATTAATTCAATTTCTCTCGAAAAACTAATCTTACCATCTTCAAAATATCTCTTTTTGTTATAACAGGGTGTGTTTTTTTGGGATAAAATATACTTTTAATTACAGCTGCACACTACCTTATCAAGTCGTCTTTGCCAGCTCTCTTCTTTTTTGACCAAAATGTCGATGCAGTGGGACAGTGTGGACAGGATTCCTGCTGTAGTAGCTTTAAACGTGATGGCTTCACCTTTGAAATCGATGCCTAAGGAACCTTTGAGGCTGTCCACAGAGAATACTGAGGGAAATCAAGTAAAATGAGCATCAAATAGCAGAAGTATTTAAACTTCTGAAGCTCTACTTCTGAAGGAACTTCGGCTGCTTAATTAAATCTGTATTAGTGTCTTATCAATTATCAAAGAATAACGAAGTAAGCAATGGAATATTTCCACCATTATTTGAGTAAAAAGCACTTAGTCTTTACACACACCAAATTGATGCTACCACTAACTGCATGTGTATTTTGCAGCTCATTGCCTGGTGTATACGGTGTAAGTTTTGATATAAATAAAATGTATGATGATCAATTACTGTGTCTTCATTACTATGTATACAAGATAAAAAAACGACTTTGCTTGAGAATAAAACTGCATTCAGAAAGGATCACAAGCATTTGATCAATTTCTACAATTGCTGTATTAGGCACAAAGAGGATGTGCTTATAACAAAGATGTACACATCTCAAAAATCTCACATTTCTCTTTGCTGCTGTTGTTGTTGTTAAGCAGATAATCTCCATCTGGCCGTGAGGTTGGAAAATCTTCCTCATCATCAGATGCTGCAAAAAAAAAAAAAAACATTTACATAAAAACTTTCATGCATTGAAAAGTAAAAAAGATAGCAAAAGAGATTAATTTTATTATAGTTATTTTCAAAGATTTCAATGTACACTCATAAAAAAAAATAACTTTAATATTGTTTATTAGTTCTAATAAATAAGTTTTCGCTAAAAACGAATCAAATTGTTTATAATTTCTGCACAGGAGAGACTTGGTGTTGTTTCAAGAAAAAAAAAAAGGGAATATATATATATCGGTATCAGCCATAATTATTTGGAAAATATCGGCATATCGGATATCGGCAAAAATCTAATATCATGCATCCCTGCTTTTATTCACATACAAACAGTGTTCAACACACAACATAGAAAACATCAAATATGGTTCAAGTTTTTTGGCTTTTAGTAAGTTTTTAGTAGAGTTTAGCTCCAACCCTAATCAATATTGAATCTAAAGGGGTAATCTATTAGACTGTGGCTGTCATAAAGCTGACAAATGCAGCTTTACTAAGCTCAACAGCTCTGGCCCAAGATGTAATATAAATAAAACACTATTGACTATTTAAAAAGGGGGTGGGGCTGGTCAATATGTCCCACACCCTCTTCCTGTTTCAGCTGAAATTACGTCAACACATAGAATAAAGCTGCACGTTTCAAGGCACTTTAGTGGACCTTTAACAGGAGCTCAATCGTGCTTGCTTGACAAACCAGAACAAACCGCATTCATTGATACTTGTGAATCAAGCAAGCACTACTTTACTTGTGTTTCAAAGATGAATGAAAGTCTAAGGCTTTGGAACAATTTTCACTTTTCACAATATAAAATAGCACTACTCTAAAAAATAAAAAAAAAGCATGGTCGAGCGGGAACGAACAAGGAGACAAGTTTCTTTCCGTTCTCAGCTTTAAAGCAGCAGTAAAGCCATTAGCGTTGGAAATGTTGTGAAGAAATTATGTGAGGTGGGTTTCTGAGGCAGTATAAAGCCAGACAGATTGTGGGTGGGTCTGCAAAGCATGTGGAGGAGAGAGAGAGAGAGAGAGATGGCAAACCATACAGACACTGAAACTCCCAGAGCTGCCGCACACGCTACACTCACCTAACTGCAATAAGATCAACATAAATCATACAGCAAATCTAATCCAGCAGTGTGTAAGTGAATGTGAGAGCGTGTGCGTTTAAGGAGTCTGAAAGAGCGTTAAATCAGATGCTGCTGGGCGTGTGCTCTTGTCTCCGTCTTGTGCCGTACTCCTCAGCTCTGCGCTCATCTTAAAATGAACCGATGCATTCTTGAATCACACCAACACCCAAAACCATTGAGTTCCTGATCCAATCAAGCCCTTTATTTTGGTTCAGAAGTCTTCTTGCAGCGGAGGTTTCCAAGCAGCCTCTTCAGATGACTGAATATACTCATGCATTATTCATGCAGCTGGATGACTGCGAGCAGAAAATGCCCATCCACCCCAGCCTGCATCACCCACGCACGCGTACACAAAAGAGCTCACCTCAGCAAACGAAGAGTCGCAATAAACAACGCTGACCTTAGCGCCAGCAGCCTCTCTATGTGCTCTTCTGTTGGAGGGATTGGTGATTCAAATAACATTTTTAGATTTGAAGCCGTACCCAGCAGAAACAAGAGGCAGGTCAAAACAACAGATTCATTGGGTCAGCTTGTGTTTATATAAGAGAATGTGGAGAGACGGGTATAGATACTGCTATAAAATGTTACATATGTATATGGTACTAGCTACAGTATAAGCATACTACATGTATAATTATGCGACTGCATAACAGTCATGCAGAAATTCAAATCTTTGACACACTAATTCTCTGTAGAACTCTTGGTAACATGAGGTTTTTGAGTAATTGTACAATTATATTTCATAATGAATTTTTGTTTGAGATATTTTTTTATTATCATTTCTGTTGCAGGAAGAAGTGTGAACCAGAAAAACAGAGATAATTTCGATACAATAAAAGAGAACAGGGACTGGGACAGTTAAGCTCCAAAAATATAGTAAATGAACGCACCATAAAAGTGGCCCATACAAGTTATCCATTACTAGCTATAAAGCTATATGGATAAACAACAATAAAATTCAAGCTGTTAATAACTAATAATGCTCCCTAGCACAATGTGTCCAAGTCTGAAAATGTCAATGACAGAGATACTCAAGCAAATAACAACATTTTGGTTTGATATCCTTCAAAAGACTTTGAATATAGTACATCATTCATATGAACCACTTTTTGATAGTTTATAGTGTTTTTTGGAGCTTGGCAGCCATAGTCTCCAAACCCTTTTTTATTCTATGGAAAAGCGCAAAACGTACGTCTGCCAAACAACTCTATTTGTTGTGTAACCAAAGAAATAAAAAACATTTGTTTGGAAAAAGAGTTTGAGTAAATGATGTCTCCTTTCATTTTCATTTTTAGGTGAAGGATTCTATCATTTAAAAATACCAGAAAGGCTCCCCTCTGAAGTCATAAAACAGCTTTTTAAGTCACATGATAAACTGCAATAGCACTCTTCACCAGCAGATGGCAGAAGTGGCCATAAGTGTAAAACTACCACGGAATACTCATTTCTGCTGTATTTGTCTTCTTAGATTACAATGTTCCCAAAACGACACAAACACATTAATTCACATTAATGAACTCACTGAAGGACTTGGTCATTTATTGAGTTCTCATAATTCCACAGAGCTTCAGTTTATGCCATTATGACCTTCAAAAGAATCAAAGAGATTTACATTGTCTCTCTCAGTTCAATGAAAGACAACAGATAACACACAAACACTTATACTTTTCTTAAGAAATGTATGTGAAATAGCTGCTTAAACAGCCAAACACTCCCACTCACTGTCAGAAAAACACAACTATACACACAAACACCCTTTCCAAACACCAGCTGTGTAGAAACAGCTATACTCCTTTTATTGAGTTCAGCTCTACTCGCACATGTGAGAGCCATTCAGATCAGCACATTCCTCAGGACTCTCCCTTTGTAAATCGCTCTCAAGATATGATACGTCACTGCAAACCACTGCCAGACTTCACTTGCACAACAAATCTCTCGTTTCTCCTCATGCAAAATGATCTTTGCCAACATGTCACTCAGAAAGCAGAGCTGACTTTTTTAGGACATACTTCCCTGCTACACAGGAGATAAAAAGCATTATGTCAAACAGGTATTAAAGGGGTCATATGATGCTTTTTTAAAGATCATTATTCTTTCGCCTAGAAACACACAGCGTCTCCCTGACATGCTGCATCAACACTAACTGCGGTTACTGAAACCACGCCTTCTTTCTTTGCGTGAACATTTGGGCGCATTACACAAATATTTCCACATAGTGAGGTAGATATGTGGGGGCGTGTTAGAACGAGCCGTTTTAGGGGGACGTGGCAGAGTCTTAACTTTGATAAAGAATATCTCTTTGGTTTTGAGACTTTAGTCTTTGCAACTTCAGGGATCTTATCTATGCACAATCAGCTTGTAACACTCCAAAGAGAAAGGAAAACTTGAAATCGCATCATATGACCCCTTTAAGAAATGGTTTAACAAGTAAATTATTTTCACAGTTTCTGTTATGTCATCGGTCAAAGGACAATGCCAACATGGCAGGTGCAGTATACAGGAATAAATTCTACTAGGGTTAATGACATGGACTAGTGTCCATGATAAAGAATAGAAAATAGTTTCTTTGAATAATTCTTGGAAGTATATTCTTGTTGGTTTTTGATTTTGAAAAATAAATAAATAAATGACTTAAAAATTTCACGGTGTAAATATCAAGTAGAATTTCATAAATTATTTTCTTTTGATCTTGAATACAAGTGGGTGTCCACATTTTGACCATAATTTTCAAAAATATTTTAAAGTGTTTTTAAAGGAAATAGTATTTTAATAAAATGTCTATCACTGATGATTAATTTATAAACATTACATTATTGGGGAGTTTCAAGTCGAGCTTTTCAAGAATTTTATTCTTTTAAATGAGGCTTTTTTTCTTCATTACGATATCAGAGCTATTATATCACCTTGACATTTTTTATTATATGACCAAAAAAAATGATCAAAATGAATTATAATTCAGAAGTAAAAACATGCCAAGTCAAGGTGTATCCAAGTCACTGTGTGTGTGAATTGCATTTTTAATTGTTTTTTTTTAATTAATAGATAGGCCAAATTATAAGCATCATGTCACATAATAATTTTTATTATAATTTGATAACTTTTTTTTTTTTTATTTACACAAGACTGGGATAAATTGTTTTTGAGTTGAGTTGAGTTTCTTGGGAATATATACGATAACTTGTGTAGAAAATACAATCTTTATGAAAAAAATAACACACCTGGATACCTAAAGAACATACTTCATCAACAACTGAGACATAAGCCCTTCATCAAATTATACTATGAAAAGTACACAAATTCAGTCTGAATTCTCCACTAATTCCACAGTGGCTCACTGTACTTTCAAATGACAGCAAAAGGAAATGATAGCAAAAAAAAAAGCATGCAGGAATAGGGTTGGGTATCGTTTGTTTTTTTTTCGATACCAGTGCCAAATCGATACTTTTAAAACGGTTCCGGTGCCTGAACTGATACTTATTAAAAAATAAATAAATAAAAATTCCCCCAAAAATGATGAATTGGCCATTAGCACTGTAAACACATTATGTCTGTTTCATTCATACTGGACGCCAGAGGGCGCCCTCGCACAGAAAATCCACATATCCAGTCACAGAAGTAGCAAAAATCAGGAAATCCCTTATATGGACAAAGGCATCCCTATTATAGCTGTAAGTTAACGGAGTAAACAGAACATATAAACATTTTGATTGATAAATCAAAGACAATAAAAACTCGACTGCGACAATATAGTTTATCTGTTTTATTCAAGCCATCTG